TTAAATTGAGCAGCTGCGATTTGACGCAGTGGAAAGTTTGGGGGAATTGAGAAGTGTCAGATGCATTTAATTAATTTAATTTAGCTATAATAATTGAATAATAATAATAATTTATTATCCTTCTCGTAGAACATTGATTGCTCAATCAATCAATCACCAATCACCATTGGTAGCTTCCGGGATGTCCGAGTGTAAAACATCATGTCAATTTGCATAATTGCGGAAACAGTCGCGGTTCGAAGAAAAGACAGCTGCTTTTGTCCCCGAAAGGTCAACTTTAAACGCTTCTATAAAATTAAATAAGAGATTGAGAAACGTGGTTTTCGAGAAAACGAAGGAAGTTTTGAGCTAGCGAAGCGCGAAATTTCTCTCTGGATCGGCCAGCCAAACGTTCAACTTCCGAAATATCGACGCGCTTGAAACTTCAAGAAAATCGACGAAGAAAAATCGTTCTTTTTTCAAGCAGTTACCGCGGCGAACCTTGATCACGGAAAGCTGAACTTTCCCGGAATCATTTCACTCGCGTTATCGCGACAGAGCGTGGTCCGACACGTGCTGTTCAACGTTCGCGGAACTACTGAACAGTCCCCTAGATCGTACCGGCGCGATTCCGAGCTCCACGTTTTCCAGATAAAATCGTGGAAACGCTCCCTAATTGGGCCCTTTGTCCTCCGTCGGGTTTCCCGCCGCGGCGAGCTTCACGTGTCGATGCTTCCGAACTGGTACAGACCTCTAAAAATTCGTCGCAACCCTTACATTACATTCTATTCGCCGCTGGGCATCGGCCGATCGAGAAATCCCTCGGCTCTGCAAAAATCCCTCGCGAGCGAAAAAAAAGTCGAAACGGTGGAATCGCGAGAAAGATTGTCGGCTCGCGGGGACTCATTGGGACGGAAGATTCCGCGTCCAAGGCCACGCGCCGATCCGAAAGAGAGCGAGTGAGGAGCTTTATTATCACGCTTTCATCCCTGCGCTCCTAAATCGCGCGCGGGGGGTAGGGCGGGGGGATGGAGGCAAGGAGTTCCTGCTCGAAAATATCTAAATTTAAGAAGTGCCGTGTCGGCAGCACCGTTTCCTTCGACACTATTTCGTCTGGCCCGTGTTTCCTTGTAAATCACGGAAAAAGGCGCGCCGACGCCGAGGGGGGCTGAGGCGGCGAAGGGGGGTCGGCGAGATGGAAAGTGGATAGAGAGACCGAACGGAAATAGACGGATAGACGAATAGAAGAAGAATGAACGCGGTTGGACAGGGAGAGGCGAGACAAGACGCGAGGGAAAAGCGAGAGAGAGAGGGAGAGAGAGCGCGAGAGAGACGGCTCGAGGCATCGCGAGACGGGAGGGCCGGGGAGGGGGGCACGGTATGCGAAAAAATACACTCTTGGCACTTGGCTTCGGCAGACGACGAGATAAATAGCGCGCGTGGGTGCGGCTCGGCGATGTCTACGGGCCACACGCCACGTTTCGACCGGAACGAGTCACAGACGAATCCGGCCGGGGCGGGGAGAGGGCCAAGGAAAACACGGGCCCCGCGATACCGGCCAGCCTGTTTCCACGGGAAATACCACACGGAGAACCGGACACTGATCCATGTTCCACGGGTTATAGGCTACATTAACGCTGGGACCGCCGAGGGGGGCAAAATCTCATTTGCAATTGCGGGGCCCCCCTCCCCCCACCTCATAACGCGTGAGAGAATGCGTTGTTCGAACGACTCGGTGCGGACAATTTTGACCTCGAAATATCGAGTTGTTTCTAAGTATTAGAAATATTTGTTCCGTTTCCAGGTATCTATTTCCAAGTACAGTAATGTCTCTCTAATTGACGCCCTCAGATTGACCACAAAAATGGACAATTTGGGAAGAGAAGATATGATTTTTCGAGCCTTGCGACTCGTTTCTATAATTGCGGACAATTTATGACTATAAAAATAAACCAAATTAGCCGTTTTAGTGGACAATCTGAGCGTCGGTAAGAGAGACATTATTGTAGTGTTATAACAACATATTCAATCGAATTATTGTTATCCTTTTTATGCTTCTATATTATGCGATTCCTTTGTCGATAAAAATATAGCAATTTTCTTTAATTTTGTCTAATTTCTGAAACTCTGTGCTCCCCAGAGAGTCAAATGAACTTAATCTCGCCGCTGCTATAAAACAATACATATACAGTAATGTCTCCCTAACTGACGCTCAGATTGTCCATTAAAAATGGACAATTTTGGAAGAGGAGATACGATTATTCGAGCCTTGCAGCACTTTTTTTTATAATTGTTGACAATCGATAACCATAAAAAACAAGTCACAAGGCTCGAACAATCGCATCTTCTCTTCCCAAATTGTCCATTTTTAATGGACAATCTGAGCGTCAATTAGAGAGACATTACTGTACATTAGTTTCTTTAACAGCTCGGTAAGTTGCAGTGTTGAAGAATATACGCGTATTCCCGTAGCGACGACTGTGTAAAACCTTCTATATACGTCCTCCCTTTGTCTTCTTTCCAGAATATATCGCTTCCGTTTTCGCGTGTACGTGTCGCGCAACGCGTACCGTTCTTTATCCGCTGCGATTCCCGTATTAGTTTAAGTGCGCGGACCCGTATCCAACGGAACGAGACGACGCCACGTTTCCCTTATTCCTCCGTTCCTCCTTCTATACGAATAAAACAAATCGACCACACCGTATCCGATAAAGCTAGAAATTAATCGCGCCCCGAAACAAAGCCAAAGGCGCAGCAATTCGGTCGGCCCACGATAACCGGCTCGGCAACTCGATCGAAACCGAGCACAGCCATCGTGTTTGCTCCGATTATTATCGCGCATATATGGATCGCAGCGTGTCCCGTTCGAAGCTTTCCGATTGTGCACGATCAATGAAACGGAGCCGCGAATCTTCCCCTGGATCATCGAATAAAAGCATCGTCGGAAGGTCAGTTTCGACAATCGACCGGGATTTTTTCCGTTCGAATTTCCGCGGACAGAAGAGGGAAGCGTTGATTTTCCCTCGAGACGCGATTCGAGCGGCACAACGAGCGTGCACACTCTTGTGTGCATCGATCCACAGACCGACTCCGTGGCTTCCAGGTGCACAAAATCGAACGCAGGAACGAGGAGCGCCGAACGAGTCCGCGAAGCCGCCTGCCGGAGCGAAATATTTTGCCGTTTCGGGTAATGCACGAGCAGAATGCCACGCGACCATCAGAAGATCGATTCCTCGTCGAGCATTCGTTCGAAACAAAACCGTGGGCGGACGTATTCGGAAGGGACTGACGCGAAAAAAGAGACAGAGAGAGAGAGAGAGAGAGAGAGAGAGAGAGAGAGACGAAAGAGACAGAGAAACGAAAGGAACAGAGAGGCGAGAGAGAGAGAGAAATAAGGCGGATAGACAGCTAGATACATAGATAAAGCGAGCGAGCGAGGGAGAGAGCGAGGGGGGAGAGGAGAAAAAGAAAAGGAATCGATCGGAAGGCTTACAGAACGGGCAAACGGAGCGGATCTCGCGCAACAGTTACCTCGGCACTGGATTTTGACGCAATGCGTCATATGGTCACTGTCAGACCAGCTTGAGTGGTTCTTCGAGTAAGAAGCCGACCTAAAAAGCCGAGCGTACACGCCTAGGCTGCGAGCGCTGGCAGCGGATCATCCGCAATTAGTGGGCCGTTCCGTCTCGCTTCCTCCTAATGAATTTCACCCAATTTGCCAGGGAGGATCCAGCGTTCTCGCGAGAGGACAGAGACCGCGCGCGAGGCTTGGGGCTCTCTTCCGCGAACCAGCCGGCAAATGGCAGGACGAGAGAGAGAGAGAGAGAGAGAGGATCGCGTCGAGGAGCCGCGAAACGGAGCAGCATTTTAATAATACGCGTATCTGCATGCCCGGGTGGACACGCAGCCAGGCGCCAACATGCCGCGAATATTTGTCTCGTCTTTTTTTCGCGAGTCCCGGCCCCCGCTGTTTACTTTCCGCGTGCGGCCACTTAGACCAGCGCGAGGAACATCATCCTTCCAGATGTCCGACGCGAAGGCTCGCCGCCGAAACGAGAGAACCGATAGACGTAATCGACGCTGCAATCTTTCGGTCCTTTCAACCCTTTGCCTCCGACGTTTCCCGACAAGACTGAGAGAACCGAAACTTCGGTCCTCGCGATCGAGATCGCGGCGATACAAGCTTCTCTTTCCCGTCTCCGTAATACGTCCAAGTAATGTCTCCCTTACCGACGCTCAGATTGTCCACGAAACTGGACAATTCGGGAAGAGGAGATACGATTATTTGTGCCTCGTTGACAATTCGTAACTATAAAAACGAATAATCGTGTCTCCCCTTCTCGAATCGTCCATTCTCGAAGACAATCCGAGCGTCAATTAGAGAGACATTACCGTAACAAGCTCCGTCGAGCGACGCGAACTTCCGCGTGACAAACGTTCGGCCCGGAGAACGCGGTCTAGAATCGATTCGCATGCCGTTGCTGGACGCAAGACGAGATATGTAGCTCGCCGGATGCAAAAGCGCTGACAAATATGGAAATTTACGAGTGTCTCGCGGGACGATCGACCGGTCCGATGACTTACACGGAGTGCACCGGCATCGACGCGCAACCTTTGCAATCAAATGCAGACCTCCGCGTCTGCTGGATCGTCGTCGACAATCGAGCAACGCGATCGCACGAGAAACAGGCCTTGAACCGAAGTCTAGCAACGGTACAGTAATGTCTCTCTAATTGACGCACAAAATGGCCAATTTTGGAAGAGGAGATACGGTTGTTCGAACCTTGTGGCTCGCTTTTTATGGTTATCGATTGTAAAAACGAGCTGCAAGGCTTGAACAATCGTGTCTCCTCTTCCAAAATTGTCCACTTTCGTGCACAATCCGAGCGTCAATTAGGGAGACATTACTGTACATCGCTTCGGGACTTGTCTCGATGTATTTCGGCGAGATTAAGAGATCGATCCCGATCGGATCGCGACAAGATCGTTCGTGTAACAAGAAGAGGGTGCTCTGTACTCACCCGGCGAGACGGCGAGTGCGAGGAAGGCAGCGGCCGCGGCGAGCACGAGTATCCTGACCGCGTACCCGCCGGGCCGTCTTCTGCCTGGCCTTTGACCGGCACGGGATGGTCCGCCGCCGCGTGAAACATGACGGTGGTCGTCGGCCGGTCCGGTTCGGCACGCTGCCGTTTGAACGTCGAGGACGACGTACGCCGGCTCCTCGACCCTCCTCTGGAACAGACGATGGAACAGACGCTGCTCCTCCTCGGAGTCGGCGTCCTCGGGCGGGACGACGCCGGTCGTCGCGGCGCCGCGGCGACGTGGTGATCGCGGCTGCTGAAGGTCGCTGGCACTGCAGCTGCTGCCGGTACGGTCGATTACCGGACCGTAATACATGGCCTGCAGGAGCGACGACTGCCGTGCCACCGGGGGCTGCACTCGTCAGCGTATCCTCCTCGGAACACCCTGGTACGTGACCGGGACTGCACCCAAGCCGTCCGAACCTACGACACCCAGCGATCTAGCCGATCCGCGAGGCATCACCACGACCTGGCTCCACCGAGTACCAGCACCACCAGCACACCAAAATAATAATCACAACTTCTTCTTCTTCTTCTTCTTCTTCCCCCCTTCGTCGTCTTCGTCTTCGTTTTCTTCCTTCTTCCCCCACTCCTCCGCCGATTTCTCTTTATCTTCCCTCTCTCCCCGTCAGGCCCTCTTTTCCCCAAAGATTCGCGACGCGTGTCTCCTCGTCTTCGTTTTACCTGTCCCGTGTCAACCGCACTGCTCTCCCCTCCCCTCCCTCCCCCCTTCGCGCGGGGAGACAATCACGTAACAGTTACGCGGACCGTTCGAATTTCAAACCAACCCGCTCGAGGCCCGACCCGTCCGTCCGTCGTCCGCCGTGCGCGTCCGCGGCTTGTTTATGGTCGGCCAGCACGCGAGCGCGTCGCCTTCTCTCCTTCGCGACTCACTGAGCCACCCTATAGATTTCCAGTGTTTTCATGTCGCTTTCCAGCCCCGAAAAAATATTCGCGTCCGTCTCTTTCCCTTCTCTCTCGTTCTCTCTCGTTCTATCTCTCTGTCGCTCCCTGTCCGTCTGTCACTGTGTCCCCCAGCGCACCGGTGGCGATGCGTCGCTGGTCGGAGCGGAAGGCGCACGAAATTCCACCCCGTGCGTCGACGGAGAAAAAGAACCTCGACGGCGACGAGAGGAGACAGCCGCGTGTGCGCTCCCGGCACGTTTCTCTTCTTCCTCGATCACGGCGATCACGACCACGACGACCACGACGACGATGACGACGACGACGAGGACGACGTTGTCGGAGGGAAGAAACCCTCTAAACGAAAGCGCGCACGCTATATTACCGGCGACACGTCGCGCGTCAGTATGCGAGAGTGGTGCGCCTCGTGAAGGGAGGAAGGGTTCGTCGCACTCTTTCCTTCCAACCCCGAGGAAACCCCTTTCCTCGGCCCTTTCCGGCTCCCGTTCGGCCCTGCGTCCTCGAGAAATCCAACCACCAAAGTAACTCGGACCAAGCGGAACGGTCACGATGCTCGCGGCGAGTTCCCGCAGACGAGACGACACACCGACACGACGACGACGACGACGACGTCGACGACAACGACGATCGACGACGACGACGACGATCGACGACGGCGACGACGACGATAACGATAACAACGAAACGTGACGATAACGGGTTACGTGTTACGAATAACGGAGTTACGAAGTATAACGGAGACGACACGGAGACCCGCACCGTCCTAGTTGTGTGCCACCTTCTTCTTCCTCCTTCTCTTTCGTCCCCTGCTCGTGCCTCTCTTAATCCTTACGCTCGATGAGCAACGACAGCAGCAGCAGCAGCGACCGGCTGCAGCTCGTGTGTCCAGCGCGCCTGGACACTACCACCGTCCGGTAGGAAGTGTCGACTGCCACGAGGTGGACACCTCTGCGAGGCTCTGCCAGCGGCAGCAGCACCAGCGGTGGCAGCGGCAGAGACAGAGGCAGCGGCGGCGACAGCAGCAGCACCGGCGGTCTGCTGGTAGCAGTGGCGGTAGTAGCGGCAGTGGCAGCTGCAGCTGCTGGTGCACCGGCGCATCCGCTTGCACCTCGCATTCGGAGCCGCACGCCGTCCAGAGAGACCGTTCACGCTTCCCGTTCGCGTTCTCTTTATTCCGTCGTCCGTCTATCGCGATTTCTTTCCGACGACACGAACGGAGAGGGAAAGAGAGACGGAGACGCGCCGAAGAGAGGAGCAGGCGGTGAAGAAACGTCGCGCCGAAGAATCGCTCGTCGGGTGGGCTTTGGGGATCCGTCGTCGCGGGCACTTGAACGTATACTGACCGGACACACGCTGAAAAGCCTCCGTACCCCTGCGAAACGTGAACGCCGCCAGCGTTCGAGCTGACAGAGGGACGCGGCGACGCGGCAGTGTCTATCGTCGTCGGGTCTGCTAGGTTCGGCTACCTCCGTGCCGAGTTCGTGCCGGCCGCAAACTTCGCTCCGCTCTGCGCGCACGCGAGCTCTTTCTCTCTCCTCGGGCTCTCTTCTTGTCGGGCTCTCGTGTCGAGCCCTCGCCTAACGCAGGAGAATGTGTCCCGAGTCCCGAACGATACAAGCGGCTCTCGCTCGCCCGCCTCGCTTGCCTCGCCTCGCCTCGCCTCGCTCCGCTCGCTCGCTCGGATTCCTGCTTGCCGCCAGTGGCAGCAGCAGCGCCGCGACGCGCTCACCACGTCGTGGCACCCCCTCGATGCCCCGCCGATGCCATCGGCCTGGCCCGAAATCGATGCCCCGCAACGCGACGTCTCGAAACCACCCCCGCGACCTGTGCCATCAACCGTCCCACCCTCTCTCTCGCTCCACTCCTCCGTAACGTCCCACCCTCTCGCTCACGCGCCCTGCCTCCCTCCCACCGACCGGCCGTTTCTCCTCTTCTACCCTCGCCCCTCCTTGCTCGAGCCCCCTACCACGTCCCACCGCTCTCTCTCTCTCTCTCTCTCTC